AAAATTAAAAATAACAAACACAGTTCTAAAAGCAACATATATATATATATCCCTAAGCAACTGGTCGACTGCTTGACTGGTCGCTATAATGCGCACTCAGGGGGCAGACGCCCGCTGGTGGTCAGTGCACTCCCACAGCAGATGTGCTGCTCAGCTGACTGAGGGATGCCCCACACCGGGCTCATGGCTGGAAAGCGTTGCTGGCAGGGTGCGAGCCTCTCCTGCAGCAGGAGCCTCTCACACCTCTGTGGCAGCAGTACTGAGTGGTGGCAGAGGCAGACACCATGGGGCCAGGATGAGTGGCATGGCACCTGGCCCGGGCTCAGGCTCCTCCCCAGCTGCCTGCTGCTTCACGCAGTACTACATCCCTTGGGCATTCCCCTTGATATGGCCAAAACCAGCAGTCCCACATCCCCTGAGGGGTCCTGGATTGCAAGAGGGCGCAGGCCAGGCTGAGGGACCCCACCAGTGCATGAATCTGTGCACCAGGCCTCCAGTTTTTATATAAAAATGCATTTCTTATCAGCATTGTTTATTTCTCATCCGTCTCTCTGTAATATCATTTGCTCTCTACATTTTAGTTTGGGGACTTGACAAGAGGCAGAATTGGGATCCTGTAGGGCCTTAAACTATTGAATGACACCTCACTGTTTTATGTCAGAGGACGAATGATTCCTTACCTCAATCTCCAGATTAATTTCATGGCAGAGGGTTTTTGTATTTTACCATACATATACTGTGTGTGTGCATTTTACAGAAGAAACTCTACATGTTGACTTATATTCGGTGAAATGCAGGGGCATGAAAGCAGGATACAATATAGCCATAACTTTAAATACTGTCAAACAGGTACTCTAGAGACTCTCAACTAAAATTCAATTAGTCATTTTACAGAAACCTGCTAAAAAGAAAAAGCAGTTATAATTACAGTAAACGATAAATGTACTGAGATGTCAATCGTGATCCCTAACGCTCAGATATAAGATAGAACACATAGCAAAATGGTCAAATGAATTCGCTTCATAAGGTCATAATAAAAGAATGTCTAACAAACAAAGTCATGGACACAGATGTATTCGAGATGAAAAGCAATTTCTAGTTACATATATCTCATTCCTTGTGGCTTTGCTTTTTCATATGCCAGACTTTCAAGGAGTAGTAAACAGAAATTAATTTGACAAAAGGCAAAGAGATCATACAGGGAACTACTTCTTGGTAGTATTAACAACATTTAAAATTATATTCAAAATAAATAGGTGAAACAATTTTATGGCAAAAGCCAAATATTAATAGTTATGTGAAGGTCTTCTAATTATATTAAAACTTATATTGAACTGAACATAATACTTGGGAAATGGGGAAATTTTTTCTTAATTTTCTAACAAGAGAAACACCTTTTTGGTTTACACCTGTCCAAATTATTTTAAACCACATTATATAAGTTGACATTTTTGCCTGAGCAAAATGAAATAGTATCTTGGGAAATCAAAGATGAAAAGTATAGTTTATGTTCATGAGGACACTGCAGCTTAGTGGAGAGAAGGATGTAAATAACAATACTATAATAGTTGCAACTGAAATAACTACAAAGAACACTTGGAGCGTATTTGAATATGAAGACAGAAGAAATATGAATTCGAAGCCAGTCAGGAAAATGTTCCCAAAACAGATGAAACCTGACTAGACACAGTAAAAATGAGTAAGAGTTTGACGGGTGGATAAGTGCAAAGATAACTAAACATTCAAAACCTCTGAGATTTTTCCCTGCTGGTGTGGCTCAGTGGTTGAGCGTTGACCTATGAGCCAGGAGGTCATGGTTCGATTCCCAGTCAGGGCACATGCTTGGGTTGCAGGCTCAATCCCGAGCATGCAGGAGGCAGCCAATCAATGATTCTCTCTCATCATTGATGTTTCCATCTCTCACTCCCTCTCTCCCTTCCTCTCTGAAATAAATAAACTTTAATATATTTTCTTATTTATTTCAGAGATGGAGAGAAAGAGATAGAAACATCAATGATGAGAGAAAATTATTGATTGGCTGTCTCCTGCAAGCCCCACACTGGGGATCAAGTCAGCAACCTGGGCATGCCCTGACGGAGAATGGAACCATGACCTCCTAGTTCATTGGTCAATGCTCATGCTGGGCAGGCTAAAAGAACATTTTTAGAAATGTTTATAGCAGGCCTTTCAGCTACCCTCTCAGTCACCTGACAAAGGTAGTGTGGGGGTAGGAACTGCTGCAAAAGCATTGTAAGCAAATATCGATGGCATTCTGCCTTCAAGGCAGAACAAAATTCTCTTCTTTGCTGACTCTTCTACCCATCTTCAATCTTCTTTTTTTCTAATCTATCTATTGACCCTGCCTTTCTTCCCTTCTATTTTTTCCAGTCCAAAAAGGTCAATAAAATGAAGCTAATTAAAAATGCCCTTGTATTTTATGGAGAATTCAATAGTTCAATACCAGTTTGTATCATAATCCAGACTTCTTTACTTTAGAATTGCCAAATATTTGAGGGCTTTTTTTTTTTTTTAAGTAAATGTAAAAAGGAAACATGACTGACAATTTATTTGAAAATAAATGGGTTGCTCATTAAATTTTAATGATAAATCCAAATGTATCCTTTTTTCCATCTTATGAACAGATAATGTTCAGTGAGCATTTTAAAGGAAAATAGGGCAAAAACAGTATACATTGTAAAAAGAGACTAGTAAATGAAGAATATAAGAATGGATGCTCTCTTTCACCTTCTCTGAAGACGAAACACGAGTTACATTTAGCAAAAAATAACGTGGCCATGACCTTTCTTCCTCCTCTGCATGATTAATGACTTAATGTCCTACTAATTGGGAGATGTGGCTGAATTTCAAACACTTTCATTTTCTGTGCATATCATTCTGTACTGTAACCACCTATTAAGCTGTTCATCAGAGGTGAGCCAACAAGGTCATCTGAGCCGCATCTCTTCACCTATTCATTACCCACCTTCAGTGGTAATTAACAATGGTCACATTTCCATAAATCAACATATTTCTGATTGTTCTCTGATGATAAACAGTGAGAATGTGTGCACTACAGCCCACCCCTTTTTAATTTCAGATTTTAAAAAATTGGTCTAAATATACCACAGAGAAAACCCAGGTGAAATATAAGGAGTTTCTTTAATTAACATGTACCAGGAAAATAAGGTTATGTACCTTGGAAGGAAAAATACAAACCTATGCACAAAAATAAATGAGTCTGCTGACACATAAGGGTCAAACTAAGGAGCCAAGGGTGTCAGCCACCTAGTATCAATTTATTCCTCTCGCAAGAAACTTATGGCTCAGTTCAGCTTCACAAGTAACCATTTGCCTACTCAGCCAAGGAAAGTGACAATTTGGAACAGAAAGCAGATTTACTTCACCCTACTCTCAAAGAAACATCATACTCTTAAGAGGTGAACCAATTAAAAACGTTCCAAAGGATATGTTTTACTATATTCATTTAAAACCATACTTCGGAAATGTACGTAACATTCGGTTTTGTTTTCTTTGTGTACTTGTGGTGTGTTACTGTTTATTGTTGATGCTTCCAATTTTTGTTTTTTTCATATCATATTATTTAGCAAGTTCAATCACCAGAAATGACAGGGGCATCAGCTACGTCTAAAAATGTCATGTGAAATTCACACTCAGTTTAGAAAGGCTTTTCTGAATTTAGAAAATTCATAAAGATTAAAGTATTTTAAAGGACTCACAGTAAAAATACTGAAAATGTATTTTAAAACTGAAATTATTAGTAATAGCTCATCAATTAAGTATGATTATATATTACCGTTGATGATTATGTGTTATATAGTATACTATTATATTACATTGTTAAATATTATTATATTTAGTTGTGGGAGTCCAGGACAAGTCACCCCAAGAGGTGTCAGCCATGAGCCCGGCTTTGGGCTGAGTGGTCCTCCACAGAGAGAGTGCACTGACCACCAGGGGGCAGCTCCTGCATTGAGCGTCTGCCCCCTGGTGCTCAGTGTGCATCATAGGGACTGGTCAACCGGTCATTCTGGTCTTCCCCCATTTAGTCGCTGGGCTTTTATTATATAGGATGACTGTACATAGTGTATCATTATACCACATTTGTTTCTTTCTAAATAAGGAAACAGTTTATTCTCTTTAGTACAGTATTTTAAAATTCCCATTTGCATTTTCAATTTTTACAATAAATGTTGTTAGACATATATACACAGGGTTTGGGATGAGTTCCAAATTAACATATAGAATCAGAGTCACAAATATTAGTCTGACCGTGTATAAGTGATATGTATATATTCATGTCCTAAGTTAGTTAAGAGAAAACACAACTCAAACTGGTTTAAGCAATAAGGAAATATATAATTTCACAAAACCAATAGCGTAAGGATTTAACAAGGTCAGGGTAAAGAATGAACAAGGCTCAGCTCTCTTTTCTACATTTCACTCAGAAAAGACCTTCTCTATTTGACAATTTGGTCTCCAGGCTGCGTTTCCTCAGAGCCTCTGGCATGCGCATGACCAGGGACAACAAGAAAAGCAATCTCCCTACCAGGAAGTAAAAATCCTTCCTTCCTCCAGTCTAATTGGATCAGACCTGTACAGGTACCAAGTGAGCTGAACTCACATTTTAGATTATTTTGAATGAACTTTGTTTTTTCTTCATTTTACTTTTTTTATTTTTCATTTCTTGGTTTCATTTCCATCTGACTTTTTATTATATCGGACTAAGAAGAAAACAATATTTTTTCCAAAGTCAGAGATAAAAAAGACATAGTGAGCTCATGAAGAGCAATAGGATTGAAGAAAGTTACTGAGGGAAAAACAAAGAATATATTAAAGTTCCTAGATGTGGTCAAGTAGCTTGACCATAGCAGTGTATTGTAACAATTAAACTATTGTGTTATACCTATAATATTAGTAAGAAGATGCTACATATTCCCAAGCCATTCCCCCAAAACTGGGTAAAACAAAATGATTCTCACCTTGAGGCATGTCAGGTGGCAGATAATGAGGTTCTTGAGCACTAACATGTACCCATTCAAAGTCATCATATAGATCCTGGTGGTAATCACAGGCCCCCGGACCATCATCAAAAGTACAGCCACCTAAACCGGGAGAAGAAGAACATTTACATTGCTACATTCCAAACAGGCATGCTAAAAATGAAGAACATGCTGGAGAAGGAAACATACTGAATATGTGATGTAGTACTATAATTTTAATAATAAATGAAACTATCCTGTTAAATTTTCACATGAAAGGACAGAACAGGACTGATAGCTGTGTCCTTAACCCCTTCCAAGAAAAAGCTGCAGAATATATCAGTTACTCAGCCTGCCCTTATCTCGGCCAATGGGAAAGCGGGGGAAACTAGCCCAAGGCCGAAAGTATGCTAGCCACCCCCTGTGTCTTTGTGTAACCAGACCCTAGCTGCACCCTGCCCTTGCATCACTAGCCCCCGGCCCTCACTCAACCAACGGGAATCGGCCAAATCAGTAGTCAGAGTGTGCCCCGAACCCCCCAACCCCAAGCCCTATGAATTCTTTGTTCTCTTGGGACTCGGGGCTCTCTCTTGCATCCATTAATGGAGGCAGGGCGGGGGGAGATGGGATGGGGACCAAGCGAGCTTGAATAAAAGACTCTCTGTGGTGGGGGAGAGATGGGACGGGGACCAAGCGAGCTTGAATAAAAGACTCTCTGCTTTTGCATCGGATTTGGTGCTCCCTGGTGGATCTTTGGGGGGTCTTGAAATCTGGGCATAACACACATAAATTAAAATTTCTATCAGTAGCTCCAGTTGGAACCTCAACAGGAAGGCTGAGGCACAGGTTTTAAAATACCAAAAATAATATGAGATACATGTACAGTGTTAGATACACATATAGGGAGTCTTACCTGAAATGTATAGACCACACAGAATCTAAATAGTTTTTAACAACTTTAGTGGATATAACAGGAAACAGAAGAAGAATAAAAACAGTCTTTCTCCATAATGCAAGTTCAAAAAGGTGAAGATAGTACTTAAGTCTTATCAAGTTCCTCGCTTTGAAAGAACACATTGAAATCTACTTATGAGACAGAAGGAAGCTAGGTAGATAGAGGTGGGACCATGGGAAAGGAGGTACAACTGGCAACCCAACTAGACTGAGTTACTGAGGCACCCCACGGAGCAGGAAACGAAGGGGACACATGCCAGAGGCATGAACTTTAAACTGTGGGTATTGCTAAGACAGGCAGCCTGCAGATAACCAATCACAAGGCAGTAATGTGTATAAACCAATCAAAAGGATATTGCTAAGGCAACATTCTTTGAAAAGACCAATGAGGAGCTAGCAAGACTACCCACCCTCTAAATTAAAAGACACATACTTCCTCTTGCTCTCTTTCTCTCTTCTCCCCTGCACACAATGGGTTCCTGGCTAACCTTGGTTTCAGAGTGGGGGGGAGGGGGAGCACATCCCTGTGCCCATGTGGCTTATGGCCATGTGAGCCTCCACACATGGACTATTAGACTCCTATTAGCTTGGACACTAAACTACTCCCGACTGTAATATGGAAAGGGAGCTCTGGACACTGGCCTTATAGGCACATACAACTCAACATATTTTGTTTATTCAAATCTTATGAAAATAAGAACTGGCCTACATGTCTAATCATATAAGAAAATGGATTAGTACTAATGAAAATCCAGCAGCGGGTTTAATGAGGGAATCCAATAACCTGTCTCCTTTCAAGTAGCTTATCTGTTTAGTTTCCACGGGGAATCTTTATGAAGAAACTCAGTGAATTCTGTGACCGAACAGGAGGCAAAGGGGTGGTAAGCTGCCGTCCTATAAATTCTCAGTAAACAAGGAATTCATTTTCCTCATCAAAAGTTTATCAATTTGAATATGAAAAAAAGTTAAGGTCCCTTACTAATGAGAGAAAGGAGCCAGCATCCCAAGCAATGAAGGCAAGATGGGAGATGTCCAGAGGACATTTAGCCCCAAGGACCTTTTTCAAAGCAGAATATGGATGTGGGTATCCTTGACTCACTCTTATAAACTACATCAACTCTTACAGGGGTCCTCAAACTTTTTAAACAGGGGCCAGTTCACTGTACCTCAAACCGTTGGAGGGCCGGACTATAGTTTTTAAAAAAAACTATGAACAAATTCCTATGCACACTGCACATATCTTATTTTGAAGTAAAAAAACAAAACGGGAACAAATACAATATTTGTCTTTGCATGTGGCCCACGGGCCGTAGTTTGAGGACCCCTGCTTTAAAACAACTAAACTTCAGCAGCTTGGTAAGTGTAATACTCTCCTTTAAATATGCTTAAAATAGCCTTCTTATAAAATGCTCTCATAAAAAAATAATGCATTTTTAATTTAAAATCAATCAATGAAAAGAAGTTGCTAGAAAATGCATCTTTACATAGCAAGGAAAAGTTATTTTCAAAACATAATTTGCTATCAACCCCAAAATGACTTATATCTTTGCCACACATGCCTTGGGGGCCCCCACTGCCCTTTATAATGGTGAGTGCCCTCTGTATGTAAATTTAAACTACCAGTGGAACCTACATTGGCTCATTTGAAAGACAAATGGCCTTAATTGCTGTCCTTCATAGCCATTGTTAATTTTAGACTCCAGGTTCTGAAAAGCAATACCTAGGAGTAGCTGTGCAAAAAAAGTGGGTCAACCCCAACAGTTTGTTGAGCATCACTGCCTAATCAGTCAAGAGTCTTGGAAATAGCTCCTGGTCCATTTGACTTCAGTGTTAAGAACACTTTTAATTTAAAATAAATTATAATCTAAGAGGTACCATATATCCGTATACCACATATAGAGCATCTCAATAAATCTTTAGTAAAAGGTTTTCTTTTTTGTAAAGTATTTTATACTATTTTGTACATTGTATTAATGCAATGTACTAGATAACATAATCCAAGCCATATTTTTAAAAATAATTATAATAAAAGTAATAATGATAATAACAATTCCAGCAGTCATATACAGTTTAAAGAGGAAGGGGGGGGTGGATATGGAGGTAGAGAATTTTATTCAACTTTACAATAGATATGACATACTATATCTTGAGCTGATTTAATTATACATAATCCCTGTTCACCATTTAAGGCCCACTAGAAAGCCTAGATATAAAGTCTTTTATAATAAATACATAATATTCTATATACATGTTACTGAGTTCAAGACAACTCTATGTGTAGTATTATAATCTATTTAAGAGAAATACCTTAGCAGGGTTCTATTCATGAATAGAAATATAACTCGTGAATTTTAGTTTCACCGAGCTAAATGGAAGAAGAAGAACAGAAGACAATACTGAAATGATGTTCAAGAAATTTAGTTAGGAAGAGGGGATGAAAATTGAGCAAGGAAACATCTTACATTCTCAGTTGTTGTATTTGCTAATGGTGATAAGACCATAGCAAGTACCTGCAAATCATGTCAGGGAATGGTGACAAGTTCCTGGACTCTTAGAGGATAATTACTGCTGAAGAGCCATTTCACAGCTTGCTAATCCCTCTGTTGGCTTCCACCAGAGCAAGCATTTACAAGGCTTTGCAAGCTACTTACCTAAAAACAAAAACCAATCCAATGTGGACTTGCCAGAATTTCTGTCCATTCCTAAACCCTCACTGAAATACTAGGTACCCCCCCCCAAAAAAAAAAAACACAACTATCCCTAACCCAAACATTATATGACCTAAACATCTAGCATTTCCAGAGACTCTTGACTGCTTATTTAAACAGCTGGTGGTGGCTCTGTGAGAGAGTGTGAAAATAGAGACCCTTTCTGCAGAATCACAGCAGAATGGATGCGAAACTCAAATCCTTTCTGAAGCCAAGCTTCTCAATAAAATGCAGGGTCGGGCTGATTGAGAACAGAGTTGAACTGGAAAAAAAATAAAAAGTCAACAGGGTCCTGGACAGCTCTGAACATTTTATGAAGGAGAATTTGTTTTAATCCATTGGACTAGGATCTTCCACATTCTCATCTGACCAGTCTTAACTTTCTGACTGAGTATAACAGCAAGAACTAGACAGAATTGCCTTTCCCAGTTCTATACGATCTGTAAAGAACGCACTTTGTTCAACTAAAGATACACACAGTATTTCTTTTTATTTTTTTAATTATGTGGAATATAGCTATAAAAAGTAAGAAGAAAGTCTTGGACAAAATGGGTTGGCAAAACTAACAGCACAGCTGTTTTATGACCCTCAGAAATGGTCAAATTAAATTTGCAATTGTGAATTAAGATGGGATACACAAATTTGCTCACTTAAGTGATCATCAACTTTGGAAAAAAATCTTTTCTCTATTAAGGATGCAAAGAAAGATTAATCATGTCACATCAGGACACATGCATACTGAATTAAACTAACTTTGAAAAGGTCAGCTTTATCTATGCTAATCCAAAATCATAATATAAGTTTACTGGTATAATCCCCAAAACTCATTACAAAGAAGCCAACACATTTGACAAAAATAAATCAAAAAAAAATCAAAAGAACAACAAAAAACTTATTACAGTTTAAAAGAACAAAAAGAATTTATTACTGAATATCTTAAATGTAATTCCATTTATAATCTGAGTTCATATAGTCTATGCCCAGAAAAATAGACTACTGAAAAAAGTGTAAAAATTGATGCTTTTAAATAAAGTTCATATTTCATCTGAAATCTTCTGGGATATCTTAGTGTGTATGTATATATAATTTTTGTTTCCTTTCAACTCTAAACTTCTGAGAACACTGTAAGTACAAAATAAAAACTGTCATACTGTGATCAATGGTTGTGTAGTTTATATCTGCTCTAAGGATGGGTAATACTTTTTCTCAATTTAAGTATTAAAATTCAAAAAGAAGAAATATCCCACGTAGATGCAAAGGACTAATGCCTTTGAGGGCATGGTATGAGTGAGTCAATGGTCATAATACATTGCTCTGGTTCAATACCAAAGTGGAACAACTAAAGAAAAATAACAAAATTTATGAATCAGAATTCCTTAAAAGATAATCATGTCAAATCCAGAAAAAGTCCCTTTGCCCTGCTTGTAGTTAATTAGTATGTGAAAATATTATGTGAGCTAG